GTGCCGAGCCCCTTTCCACAGCGCTACGGCTGACGAGTGGGAAAAGTAAGTACGCCTAAGACAGGCAATCAGAGCATAATAGGGCCATATTAACAATACATATTGATAGGGGACATCTATATTTTTATCGATATCGATAAGCTTAACAATAAATATGCCCATACTTATCAATATATATTGATTACTGAGATGTCTGGTCCGAAAGTGACTCTGCAAGAACTTGACGATGTGCTCAATCGGATTGCAGCCTTCTCACCATTCTCGTCCCCTGATCTGCGAGAAGAAACTGAGCGGAAACACTGTCAACCCTGCAGCAGCTCGGGTGATCTGCTCTTCAGTTTGTTCCGAAGACTGAACAGCTCTGAGGCTAAATGGCTGGTTCGCATGCTATCCAAAAACTACCTTCCCGCGCGTGTCCCGGAAAGACTGGCAATGAGCAGATTTCACCCGTTTTTGTACAATCTCCTCCGTTTTCAGAATTCAATCCCAGTTGCCGTAAGTGTCCTAGGGAGACCTAACATCCGGAATAAACCCCTCCAGGCCGTGGTAAATCCCAGGGAAGAGTTCAGGGAACTCCTACAACCGCAGGTAGGAGTCATGATTGAACGGCCAGCTTATGCGAAAGCAAGGAGCATCAGGCATTGTTGCCACTTGGCTGGCCCAAGACTAATGAGTGTGGAGCGGAAATACGACGGAGAATACTGTCAACTTCATGTTGATCTAGGCAAACCCGGAGCCTGCATCAAAATATTCTCCAAGAGTGGGAGGGACTCTACCATCGACCGCATCGGCCTTCATCGAGCATTACGAGACAGCCTCGAACTTGGCACGGCAGACTGCAGGATCAAGAAACAATGCATACTGGAGGGCGAGCTGCTGGTATGGAACGACGACAGTGAGGCAATCGAGCCCTTCCACAAAATTCGTAACCACATCAGACGATCAGGACGGCTCCTTGGAGCGGCCCAAGACCCGCCCCCCAATGTGAATGAACATCTCATGATCATGTTCTACGATCTTCTGTTACTAGACGACACGGTCTGCGCTCGAGAAAGCCATGTTGAGCGGCGACGACTACTTCACCATCTGGTTCGTCGAATCCCTGGTCTTGCCGAGGTCGGATTCCGCGAAGTGGTTGCATTCTCTTCAGCTAATGCTGCCGAGCGGCTCACTGAAGTATTCGCGCGAGCCATTACACAACGGTGGGAGGGACTGGTGCTGAAAGGTTGCAACGACCCTTACTTCACCTCCGATTGCGGCAAATCATTCATCAAACTCAAGAAAGACTACATTCCAGGCCTCGGTGACTCTGCCGACTTCACCATCATCGGCGGAAACCACAGTGCGGAAGATGAGCAAGAGATCGGAATTGGGAAGCTCTGGTGGACGTCATTTTATATCGGATGCGTGGAAAATAAAAATGAGGTATGCCGGTATAATTCTAAGCCATGACTTCGCATCATCGACATCATCGACAGACATGGCATCCCGAAAGACTATATGGAATATCTCAACCGACATGGATACTTCACACAAATACCCTTTATTGAGTCCACGCCAGATTTTGACGTGGTCTTGGACCCCAACCGCGGACTGCGACCAAAGGCGTTATTTCAACATCCGTTTATAGTTGAAATCGAGGGAGCTGGCTTCGACAAGCCCGCAAATGCTCGGTACTATACTCTACGGTTTCCACGAGTGTTGAAGATCCATGACGATCGCTCGTTTACTACTACTACTAGCTTCGACGAACTGCAGGAAATGGCTCAAAAATGCTCAGAGATATCTGACAATTGCGAAGGGGAAAGAAAGTCCTGGCTAAGAAGGTTGCGAGGTCACAGGCATTGGGTTGGGACATCAAGGCTATCCCTTAGCATCGACTCAGTTTCTTTGGACATTCGAGACACTAGCCGAGGTCAGAGGCAACAGGAAAATGGGGGAAGAGCGGTTGAGCTCCTGAGGCCTGATAATGTTTCCGTCGATTCATCGAAGAGAAAGATGAATTCGGACAATGCATGGCATGGTACAGTCAAACGCATAAAACGGGACTAGAAAATATGTGTAGCCATATTGAAGACTTAGGTACGCAATGGGTGGGTGGTCAAGATTCGGCGTTTGGCAAGAGAGCGAGTGGCTGGCTGCCTTGTCCAATAGCATTCAAACCCGGCAGGGCGATTGCTCTGCTATTGTGCTGTACTGTACCGTGTTCTTTGAATGTTGGCCATGCGACGCAGTTGGGATTCCTACATCCGTAAATCTTCTTTTGGCTCCGAACACCTGGGCTTGGAACTTCACATAGTGCAAACTATGGTCATCAATTGACCACCTTCACACAGGACACATCTAGGCTAGGGATGTCCGTGTGAGTCTGGAAACGCAGTCCGATACCTCCGGGCTGCTCATCTGTCGCAGGCTGAGTCCTATCTGTCAAACGATATTCCGCCCTTGCTGCTTTATCTTTTTATAGACCAATAATGCCCGAAGGCCTTGCTGCAGAGGCGACACGTATTGAAAGAGCAGGTCCAGGCGGCGGAGATGTCCCTCACTTTACGGGTAGGTCTCGCGAATAGAGCAGGGCAAGGGGCATAATGTTTTAGGGTGCATGTCTGTTTTTCCCTTGCTTCTCACTGTCTGCTGTACCATTCTCCCATTTATGCCCCTTGTCCTCTCTTCTTCAGTCTTCCATCTCCTTCCATGCTGACTTACTAATGCATAGGCACCCTCTCTCCGCGTCAGCTTTCCACGTCATCCCAGTTTCATCCTGTCTCGTCCCTACACCTTCAGCTAGCTATCAGGCTTCAGGACCAAGTCTTAGACCCTTCTTCTCGACAGCAGGCGGAAAATTTTCTGCCCTCCAACGTTCTTCCCTCCACGACACGTTTTCCCTAGGCGACACGTTTCCCTGAGCGACACGTTTGCCCCGAGCAACGCGTTTCCCCGAGCGACGACCACCGGCGACCTCTTCCCCTCAACGACAGCCTCATGCTTCTGCACAAATATCCCAGCCAATCTCGGTCCTCCTGATTGAATGACTCTAAGTCCTTGCCCTTGTGGCAAGTGGTGCCTAGGATGGCAATTGGCAAGAGAATCACACCGCCAAACGTTCTTGGAACGTCTCGGCTATCCATTACTTGGCCCTAGGCCATTAGTGAAGACCAACAGCCAAAAATGCATATAAGGCGCCGTAGACTATGGCAAGAAGCACTATAGGCCGCTCAGTAGTAGTATATGCTACTGTAAGCCCGCCAAGGGAGCTCAGACCTAGCCTCGGACTCCTTGCAAACCGGCGTGGCCCGGAATTCCACTTGTTGGCCAAGCCTTTGCCGGTCTGTTAGCACCGAGCCGAGTACAGTAGCTGCACGATTCCACGACGATTAAGAGATCTGCTCAAGGTCTTCGGATCCTTGAAATTTTTTTGACAACATCTTGTGACTCGCCGCCTACAGCCACTCTCAACATGCCTGGCGACCGCGGTGGGGACCGCGATGAAATAGATTGGGGCAGCGACCTTAGTGGCCTCCTTAGCCAGGGCGACTGCGACGGAAGCAACATAAGTACGTTTCCAACTAATACTACAACAAAACAATACGAGAGCAGCAGAGGTAGTTTTACGATTGCTAGAAGCTCGACTGATAATTTCTCAGCTCCAACTGCTACCAGCGCGGCAAAACTCAGCCCCATTATCCCGGACGATAATGCTGCTGTACCACAGAAGAGAACCATGCAGCAATCTAGTACACCACGAAAGCGTCAGTGCAATACAACTACGCCATTATGGGCTGTAGGAGCAATGCTGCACTTGAAGTCTGGGGTGGATTTACGTTCCGGCGGGATGTCCGATCCCAGTTGTGGGAGGACCAAACTCGGCATGCTTGGCCGATGAGGTCACTGATGGCTTGCCTCGACAGCCTCTCGGTGCAAGTACGGGGGAAAAACGGAGATATTTTCGATCTGCAGTTCCATGATGGTGCTTGGGAAGGGAGTGATATTCGGAGGGAAAGATTCTCATTAGATCGCCGCACAGTTTCGCGGTTGATAAAGGATGGGGCTTTACTATAGCGGAGTGTTCATCGAACCCTTGAAAGATAGCCTCTGTAGGGAGTACTCAGACAAACGAGTCCACGATATCTGTTGTTTCCTAGAACGCAGTGCTATTCGTAAATACTCGAGCTTTACTTAGCTTCTCGTTTCAAGCACTGTCTACAGAGACTTGTCATGGTAAGCGCGGGCCTCGCTGTCCCGCTCCGAGCTCCTCCTCTTCCGTCTTTATCTTTCCGTCTCTCTCCTCTTAACGAGCCAATCCACCTTCACTACTTCGCTTAGCATAGGAATTCATGAGGAATTCAGCAAAAATTAAATGTTAGCTCTCAAGTATAATGGGCACAGTATGGCCGATAACACCCCTTGACTATATGTCTTTAACGGGATGGCTGTGTTCGTAAGTGAGGCTCGTAAACAAGCTTTTCCATCCTCACCAATGTTCTCCACCCACAAAAGCTTACCAGTTATATCAATTACAATAAGTAACTATGATTTCACGTGCCTGATAGCTATAGAAAAGTTGAACAGGCTGCAGAGCTTATCGGACGGAAGACTTGTATTATAGCGGTTAGTGCATACGATTTAATGCGTGACTTGCAGCAAGTGGACGCTAGAGCAGGCTAGAGCAGAGGAACACCGCGTCCTTGGACTTGTGTCACCGCCAAAAGAGGATCGACCGCATCCACGTAAAATAAGCGTTTCACGGCCAGTGGGGAAGATTACGCCTGTGTTTCGGGCATTGGATAGGAAGTCTCGGTGATCTACCGAACAATCGCTAAGCGTCATCTCGTTCATTACAACAGTGACATCGCTACTTCAGTGGATAAGAGACGTAGTCTATCCCCCTTAGTCTGACAAGCTGACGACTGGGATCATGGTAACTGCAAATATATAAACGCTATACCATTGCCTCACTTGCTCTTGCCTCATCTACGTCTACATACAGCTCGATTCCCGACATGAACGTCAGATTCCACGAACCCTTTGATGCCAATGCATACAGAATCTTGAAAGAGAAAAGCGCCAAGGGGAAGGCTGGAAGAGCCACCGAACGTTTTTTCGTTGGCCCTCACGGGACCGGCTGCGGCACCACATTTTCTGCCAAATACACGGATATGGTCAACGGTGGCGGAGAGTCTTCGAATACCGACCCTCAGCGCGTTTCGGAGGTGCCTACTCCAAGCCCGTCTACTATTACAGTTCAAACAGAGGCGAATTCTACCAGCAAAGGTCCTGCTCTGCCTATTCGTGTGACAAAGGCCGGGTAGCTAACACTTGGCAGATGCAGAAATCATTACCTCTGACTTCGAGGAACAGACACCGGAAGTATCGTGGACTGGGCCTTCCACGATTAGAGCAACAAGTCCGTTTCAAGAGCGTGCCCAATTCTCTCCAGTAATCCGATCACCGCGCCTGGCCATCTACTATACGGAACGGCATGATGTCGATGCCATGAGCTCAAATGTTGCGTCACTCAAAGGAATATGTCATAAAACTACAGCTCATGCACAAGCTACGCCAGCAGCCGCTTTTAATGCGTCAATGTTGGAAATAGAAAGTATAACACAAAGCTTATTAAGGGTACTGGAAGAGGCTAACTCGTAAGTCAGAAAATGGCGCTACCGCGTCGCCCAGAGAGTATAGTAAAGAAGGTTCATCTAGCTTGCACAACTGGCACAATCCCAGTCCGCGGCGCCAGGCCCCCCTCGACTCCCAGAGTTTGGGCATCCCTAGTATAGAGGGCTCTCTAGATATAACCGCAAACCTCGAGCCGACGAGCCGGCGGTCGTCTCCATGGCTACCTGCGGCTGACAAGTTTGCCGTAGGCGATGGGAGCTTTAGCAGCAAGACTAATTTGGAGATTAGTGGTTCCGCTTCTGATGAAGACGTCCATGACAGCATTGAAGTTGCACCGCCTCCGGATTTTAGAGACTATGCCGCCTACATTAGGGCTGCAGACGACGCCGATGGTGAGACCCCACCAGGAGAATGGGAAGCCCTCCGAATTATTGGCGAAGAGCGCATTAGTGGAAAGCTGCACTACATGATAGAGTGGAAGCCCAGTCTCGTGTCCGAAGACGATGCGGGAAATGCGACACAGCTGATAAGAGAGTAGAATAACCGGAAGGCCCGTATTCAGGCCGGTGTGCAGAAGAGAAAGAGGCAGAAACGGATGTCTATAGCGGATAATAGGGTTATGTAGTGCAGTAATCATGCACGAGGCTTTGACGAAGGACCGTGCACCCATTCTGGCCGCGATCAATGAGACTGCCTGCGTCCAAGGCAGCTATTTGCTATGTTCTTCTTGAAACTACCACGACCATGATCGCAGTGTTCAACTAGGATACCATCGGTGCGGCCAACCAGTACTCGATACGAAACTAATTCGGGCAATAGACGACTGCCTCAATAAACAGTAGACGAGAAGAACAATATTAGTCCGAAAATGAAGATTCTCATCTTAATAGAGGCATCTGGCTTAACGGCGTAATAAAAACAGGCGCCTACCAGAGACCGAAAAGTTGAATAAGCTGCAAGCCATGAGTATGGAATTATAGAGAGTGCATTTATAAGACTTCCCAACAAGCTACTTTGCAGTTACAACCCAAGAAAAAGACTAAATACTAAAATCAAAGTGCTGAAGTCTCTAGCCAAGCCGCCGCGACTTCAATAACATTGGCAGATTCGTGTGTCGAGAGGGCAAAGCATTGTCTACTCGAGTAAGACCCCTGCTCTACATGTAACAGATCCACCACTTAAGATGCCCCCTGCACTACGTTCTCCCCAGTGGTAAACCCTTCGGCTTCGGCTAGTTTTGTAGTCAAGCGAGTGACCTGGAGCGCCAATATTCTAATGTAGTATTCCCTATATATTGAGTTAGAAATCGACAGACCAGACGTACACACTGTGCGAGAGTCGCGGGGTCATGGTACGGACAAATTCTGAATTCTAGTATCTCTATCGCCATCGTCAGCATCCAGTGTACTCACTTCGGCGATGAGACATACCGCTCTTGCCACTCATTATATTGCCCTGCCCATTGTTTCTTAGGTCTAGTCGTAGCTAGTTAGTCTCGTACTTCGCCTTCTCGGAAGGTCGACGCACGTTTCGACGCTGAACTGCGCACCGTCGTCTGCGGGGCCGTGGTAGGATCTATTGGGAGAGACGGAGCTGCGATTAATGTCAGCAGTCGCAACTGGTGTGGGTAGGGATAGCAAACCTTGAGCCTATAGGGCCTCCGCAAGCGACACTACTGAGGGTAGCCAGGATATCCAAGGAACTTCGGTCGTGGTCCCGCGTATGAGGCGTAGAACGCGGTGGATGGCCGAGCCAGTCGTGTGAAGCACTTGCGGGGCCGGGAAGGTCGATTGGTGGGAACCCATCCGGGTCTAGATGAGATCTCGGGGGGGCGAAATGTTGGATTTGGTCGCCTTTGCGTCTCTGGCCCTGGTGATCAGACCGTAGCTGTCCAATCGCAGCGCGTCGCTGAGGGTAAAACATGGCCGGCACAGAGCACGCAGTAACGCTTAAGGAAGATAGCAGAGAGTTCTGAAACTAGAGAGAGGATTGAACAGCTTGCGCGTACAATTGACCACTCCGACCTCCTTTTTATAGCCATGTTTGTCCCCACAGCACGGTTCCCAAGAATGGCACCCTTCGGAGAAGACATGCAGGCAGCTCTGTGCCTGCACTTCGTTACGTCTCCTCCGCGAGGGTGCCTCGTGAATAGGCCCCAGGCTTTGGCAATCCTGCGTGACTGCCACTGCTTCGAGCGTGGGATCATGAGAACGATCTATTATCTAGGTTCATATTGCTGCTTCGTTACTTATATGCGTCTATTCCGCGCCTCGCATTGACCCTCCAGCAAGTGAAGACTTTCAGCATCCATCCAAAATGCCTACATGTAGGTCAGAGGCAGTTGTCTGACCGGCCAGTGTGCTGAACCTTTCGAGCCTAGTGCAGCGTTCCTCAATCCATGATCCATGATAGTAGCCTGAATCCATGATCCCTGACAGTCGACTGCGGAGCCCCGCCCCTTACATCACGGAGGTTAGCTTGATCAACGTCGGCCCGCCGCCGTTGGTGGTGCGGAAATAAGAGGCGCCCGCAAGATCAGACGATCATAGGATGCAATGCTACAAGGAGCGGGGGCTGTCTGTCGCCATTTTTTATCACTGGCGACATGGACGATAATGTAGCAGAATTGAGCGAATGGGCGCTTCGCGATTGCCTAATCGCTGCAACATCTCGCTGCATCTTCCCACCATTGGGGATAGTGCCTGTCGTTCAATTGGCTAATCTTGGCCCCTTGAGAACCCGCAAATTAGGAGGCTCTTGGGTAGATGCCCCTTCAACCTCAACTATCATAACGTCGGTCGCTGGTCGCTCACAGAGATAAAACTAATAAAGACGTCGGATCATGAGCCTAACATTCAGTCACTAATAAATTCCACTATGGCTGAAGTCTTGACAATCCGGGCTGATATAAATAGCTACGTTACACTAGTCATGTTTCCCGCTTGGCTTTCAGAGTCGCTGCTTACGTAGCCTGTATCTGCTGCGTTGCGCCGTACTGTGGGGCCGGTGAGGGCCACCGCGGTCCGGGCTCGGGCTAAGCTCTATACTGCTGCTCCGGTAGGCGGCATCCATGTGATAGTAACGCATTAGGCGCGTATCCTACGAATGATTGACTCTTTTATTGTACGAGTGATTCTAAGGCTACTCCGACGTTCTCTACTTAAGGGGCTAGAATCCGCAAGCAAACTGGGCAATACGTCGACGCCACTTTGGATCTATGACTTGGCATGTAGCTCCTGTGAAGACAATTATAAGCGAGTCACATGATGGTGCCTAGATGCCCAGTGCTGCCTGGCCACCTCATTGCTTGTGGATCCTCGGCTCCGCAATCGGCTCCGCCACTAAGCAATTTCCGCAGCTAGCCCGGCACCATGCGATGCAAGGAGACGATGCTACTCACAAACAGCTGCCCCCGCGCTTGGCGTGGATCTGCCTCGATAAGGTACAACGGTTATTGTGGCATTATCGCCAATGATTACAGTAAATACAGCCCAGAGCCGCGAAGTTATTCTTTAGTGGACGACTCAATCTTCACCGGCCGTAAGGGTAGGTCGCTCACCACGTCTCGGCCTCTCACTTGCAACAGTAGGTGAGGGTATTCTGCGATCGATTCTCCCCCTGAGGGCAGATTCCTTGACTAAAGTGGCTTGAGCGAGCTCAGGCGGAACATGGCGAATGGTGGGGCCCTGAACTGTGGGTGCGGTCGATTATCCGATGTCAGACAAGTGGCTCTCCGCCGTGCGTAATCCACCCTTAAAGCACGCAATAGCAGGGCAGCAGGGGAGCCGCGCAGCGCCATCCGGCCGTAGCGCCCAGACGAGCATGGTGTAGACCTAATCCTTGCCTCTACATGATCATAGTAATCGCATCGTGTCCGTTTTCTGCCAAGAGATTGTACAGTCGTACAGCCTGTAGGCTGACGCATCCCCCCCCCCCAAGCTCCCCTTAGTGGCTACAGGCCAGGCCCCAACAGCGACCTAAAATAGACGTTACACTACACACCATGAAGCGTCTCCACGTAATTGGCAGCCGTTGATACTACAGCCCCGACCGATTTTAGGTTCGCCCCAAGACCCAGAAAATGTTTCGCACTACGCCCGATATTGGCCGTTAATTTGGCTGCTATCGTGGCTAGTCACGGTGCAAATATGTATCAATTTACTACGGATACTGTACTTTGTACTGAGAGGAGGAAATGTGGGGGCTCGGCTCTTCCCACCACCGCTAGTAGCCTGGAAGTGCTTTTCGGCTGATAGCTTTCCAAGAATCTCTCTAATCGCACTGCTGTCAGCCATACTTGGAGGTATAATTGTCCAAAATAGGCCAGTGGGGGTAAAAATGGGTCTGGGGGTGAAACTAAAATCGGTCGTGACAGTAACATCCCACCTCTTGTGGATAATAAAGGGTGGCTGCGATGCAACCCGATACTGACGCGGAAATAGAAGACAATTCTCTTTTGCTGAAAAGACGGCACACTGCCGCTTCCAAGCCCTCCGCTCCCGATTGTACGGACTGCGCTTCAGAAGGCCAAGCGGTCCAATATGGGTCGTGTTCAAGAACGCAGCATCAAGGAGAAGGCCAAGGCTCGCAAGAGCGGCCCAAGTGTCCTGCAGAAGACAAAGGACCTAGGCGTCCTGGCGAATGTTTTCGCCGCCACAGTCCATTGGGACCCGACACACCGATGTCATCGTGTCGCTGTCCATCTTCCGGAGGGAGAAACAGTTCCAGATGTGAACAGCTTAGTAGGTTCTACCACGAGCACCCGCAGCTCCAGGCTAATCTTGGCATAGATAGCAGATGCCTTAACAGGGTCAGCCTCTCAACAACCACAAAGACAGAGCCGCAGACTTCTCCAGTCCGCTCAATCCAACCGCCGCAAGGAACGGCAACTGGCCTCGAGGCGGAACGCGAGGAGACGACCGCAGTACTCATCGCAACCACCGTTCAGCACGCCAGCTGATCCATATGTGTTTCCCGATACAAGCGCAGATGAGGCGGGGTCGGACAGCAGGAGCAGGACTGGTGGCTCTGCTCGGCACAAACGTGGCGTCTCGGGCTCAGTCGGCGCGGCCGAAGGGGAGGAGCCACGCGACCTGCAACATGCGCCGGGACACAGCGCCGGCCGAGCACCGGCCCCGATTCTCACTTCTGTCGAGCCTAGTGACCCGTGCCAAGGCCATGAATCCATCGCAATGAACATGAAACCTGAAAACAGCATGCCATGGATAGGAGACACCTCATGGGACAGCTTCCTAGATAATATGTTTACAGACGACCACACGCCAGGAAGGTTGTCTGCCACGGACGAATTACGGAGCACACAGGCGGACTCTAGTGGTCTGCATAAAAAGAAGGCTGCACCAGCTCGTCCTGTTCCTGGACCGGAATGGCGACGCCTTGTTCGAGATTCACTGATATTGCTAAACGACATTTTTTCTTCACAGGCGAAGAAAGCACCTTAGTCTGGATGCGCTACTGATAGAGCCCGTAACAGATATATGGACAGAAGAACTAAATACTAACCGCTACGCGGTTGTTTTTTTCCTACGCATATCATTACAAATGGACTCGATGCTCGTTATATTAGCTATGCACTGATGGTGCTCGTTTTTTGCCACCGTTCTGCATGACGTGGGCAAGTCGACATTAAAACACCGCTGCTATATCGGGGGCGTAGTCTGCTCTCTAGTGAGGTAAATGTAATGGAGATGCCGACAGCGTGAACGTGACGGGCGGCTGCTTGCCTATTGAATGTTGCTATTCTGTCTGACCTTGAATTTATTGTACCTTTCTTTGGCCTAGCCCTCGCTGCACTTTTTTTACTATTGTCTCCTTTGAGCGATTCGTCGTGCAGAGCATAGAAAACCGCCTCTAATGCCTCCATGGCACGATTACTGATTGTCTCAGATGCGTCGCCATCTCATCGTTCCAGGTGCCTTGCGGAAAATGCGGCGTTCGGCACTCCTACGAGTTACAGTATATCGACGTCTGATTACACTTAGCTTAGAAATCGCCCATCAAAGCATTTAGAGGAGACTCTTTAGTGCAGCAATTCGAAACGCAGGCACCAGACATATCATGTCAAGTTTTCTGATGGCCGCGATCGTATAGTGATGGGAGTATCTGCAGCTCGGCTGCGGGCAGCTTTGTCTAGCCTCGAAAAAGGCACATGAGCTGCACGCTTTGCTACTGCATTAAGACGCGTTTCGTACCCAGTGGAGTTCACACCATGCGACGATTACTTACGGCAAGGAGCTGCATGTCGCTCCATGAAGCCAAATCATTGCAGGTTCTATCATGAGAAATTTCAATCCGGTTTTTGTGACATGCTCGATCTTGAAGCGCGAGAAGAGACCATCAGTAGAGCATACTCTAGCATCACATGTGTCACATAACATTATTATATGTATCCAGATGGTGGCTGGCGGGGCAAATACATTAATAAAACAGAAATAAGCAGCAAAGGAAGCTTATTCGACTCTATTTGGAAAAACAAAGGCCAAGGAGCTGCTCACACCGAGGTTGTGAATGTCATCAACCTCTAGCGATATGTCTTACCGGGATGAGCAAATTCGCGCCGACAAATTTGACCCGCGGAATCCGAATCAAATAAAACAGCACTTAAAGGAGCAGTCCATTGTAGAACGGCATCACACGATACGATAGGCTGCTCTTCGTACCGTGACTGTGTGCGCATATCTACCTGACTTAGCACTTTTACCCCTTTGTATTTGCTGCTTGACTTGACAGCGCAATTCCCATGGTCGGCGACTTTGTACGCATCCCCAGGTCACTACGAAACGACATAGACTTGCGAAAGTGTACACCCCAGCAATTGCCATAATGGGGCGACATGGGCGGTAACTTTTACGCAAGTCGCTTAGGGCCCAACTTGAATTCGAGCTCGAGCGGTGCAGACAGAGCGCCGTCGACTCGAACATGAAATGTGGTATTGGCGAAACGGCCGGGACTGGCGCGTAGTAGCTGCGCTGAGGCATGGGTCGAGACGGCAAAGTCTTGGTCACCGTCATGATGCGCCTTGGATATCCTCCTTGAGAGCGCTGGTTTAGACATATTGATAGCCATTGAGAAAGCTCAGGACTAGAGCTCTTCCTTAGAGTTTCTAGATGACCCCATATATTCATGAATATTTTACTTTGATATGGACTTACGCTAGTATGATTCAACGTATATCCATATGAACATATACATCCTATAGCTATAGAACAGAGTTGTGGCATATGGAGTCTCTTTGACAAAGCATTTAGAAGTTCTGTAGTGGATGGACAACTCTTAAAGTAATCGGGTATTAAAACTATTGAGTTATGATACTCTTTCTCTACAACATCAACACTAGAAAGTATGATAGTTGATTCAGGAGTTTTGCACTGTGATATATCTCGTATATACTTCTCCATTGCTGTAGTGAATAATGCAGTCTACTGCAGATTTTAAAATATCACAATACAAAACATAAATATAACATTATCAAATTAACCCTAAAGCATAAGCTTATCCATCTCATCAATAAGCTCTTGAGATGCAATATCACTCCTAGATACCTTCTGCTGTGGAATGGCAGTATCAATAGCTGGAGCCTGAATCGCCTGCTTCAGAGCCATGATAGCACCACGGCTGCAGTCAGCAACAAGAGAAAACTTATCCTTGGCAGCTTTATCTCGCTTATCCGTAAGAGTAAGTTTCAAACTAAACACAAGATCTAGATTAAGCTTTACTCCCTCCTCAGTCTTCTTAAAAACTATTCCAAGATCTTTGGGATCGAATGCACCCTGTCCATCAACAATTCCAATACGCCCGCTAGTATTATTAATTGTTAACCACCAGTTATTTTCGTCCGAAGGAGCACGCTTATCATCAAGACTAACAATAATATCTTTCTTCAGTGCTTCAGCTGCAATCTTGTCACCGACACATTTCTGAAGCTTTGCAATGATGAAGTCAGAGCCATAGTTAGCAGCATTGATGTGAGGTATGTCACAATCAGACATCTTTATGATCTTGGACTCGTACGTAGCATATTTAAAGTGAACAAAAGCCTTCCAGTAACGATTATTTGGACTCTTGCTACGAGTGAAAGGGCTTGTAGTCTCCTTTACATCATCTATCACAATCTCAATCTGATTTAGAAGTTCGGGGGTCCATTTCCCAATGTTAGGAAAGGGATTCTTGGAGGGGTTGAGAGACATCTTGCTTGATGATAAATTATTGATAGATGAATTCACTAAACCAGGAAGTGCAATCTTAGACATAACAGTAAGATACGCAACTGCGGTAGCGTTGCATTTGAGATGCAGATAAATGTTACATAAAAGTGTCTTTCAGTAATATGTGCAACATAGTTGCATTTACAATACTATAACAGTGATTGCTGAATATTAGTATGACCTCCGTTGGTAATTCCAGGATCCCGATACATAACATTGATCCTACATTCTTCAGATGTATTGAATGTAAGAAAATTGCAGTAATTATATCTAAAAGTGATCTAGCTATATACATGATAAAACTCTCATTTAGTGACTGGAAGTATACAGCCAGATTTGTAGTGACTCAATGCAAAGCTTGTATGCGCTATAATGGTGAGAGTATTGGTGAGTATAAGATAGGTGCAAAATTTGTATGTAAATTTGTATTGAACATTCTAGGTGATGATTATGATAGGTGTATAATACATGAGGATAATATAGTTGAGGAACGACGTAAGTTTTATAGATATAACACTGCCAAAGAATTTAGCAGAGAGATGAATAATATAGTTATCAGAGATATAATAATGCGATTTGATGATTATACAGGCAGCACAGCTGAGCTCAATAATCATGAGTCTGACTTCTTCTAAGTAGATATAGTACAAGCTCTATCTGAAACTATAACCATACTCTATGTCTATTGCAATATCTACACGTAGCTCTATGCTTTGAGAGTATTTACCTCCTGCGTATAGTAAGCCCACGTAATATGACATATTCTCCACATTTCATGACTGCTAGTGGAGTTATAAGCTTTGCTTTGAACACAATAGAACTTGAAGGTTTCTTTAAAATTCCAGATAGTATATTTATCACCTCTAATCCATCAAAGATATTTATCTCTGACATAGCCTCTTCAATAAACTCCATAGCATCATCTATCTTAGACTGACACATAGAAAGCAAAAGATCATACGGAGATATAGGCATATCTCTGTACGTCATCCTTATATATATTGCAGCACAGCAAAAGTCTGTTCTTGACTCTGAATCCTCAGGAATAATACTCTCAGGAATGCTGAGAGCATTAACATTCATCAGGACACTAGCAGTTCTCCTCATTATAGCATCTTCAAGATATTCTGGCTGTTTATCAATATCAACGACACCATTAGTTGCAAGTGTGAGAGAACAGTTAGTCTTGACAGAGTTAAAGCCTATCCTTACATAATCACTTCCGCTAATATTCTTAAAGATTGACATATTCAATGGACTCTTCTCTAAATCTACATCATAACATAGAGCCATTCTACAACTTGCAATAACCTCTGTGATCTCACTAGGCATAGACTTAGACATTCCAACTAGTGATCCGTCAGGTAATACACCACAACATCCAATGAGGCACGCAAATATCTGTTGTAATAATGTACTCTTTCCTGATCCTCCAGGTCCACATACCATAAGACACTTTGGTCTTGATACAGGATCTACGAGACAGTTTCCTATATGCCAGAGTATTGTGAGCAGAGATCTGAGATCTGGAAACAGCTTCATGATAGCAGTCAGTATTTCACCTCTTCCTGGAAACTGGTAGTCTATAGGTATGGTATCAGTATCTATAGGCATTATACATACTCCACTTACTGCCGGATCTGCAGTCTTGAGTACACAGTCAAGTAGAGGTCTGCAGTCAAGAAAGTTTATGATACTCTCTTCCTCATTAAGCTCTATTTCAAGCCTTTTAGTACCAAAACATACACTTGTAGGTATCGGCTTGCCTACATTTATATTACATCTCTTGACTATATATTTATGAAACTGTCTCACTGATTTGTCAATATTCACAGTAGCATTTAGTATTCCCACCAAAACATTAATCCTACCCATAGCTTCAACTGATGCTAAGTTACACCAATAGTTAGATGTATCTACAAACATGTATTCACCACCGTATATTCTGCATAAGAGTCCAGATTCAAACAGCCATGTATCTATTTCGATATATCTTTCTCTTTCCTTTGTCTTCACCATAGGCTTGTTCCAGCCTACATCTTTCTTCCAGTGAATATGACCTTTATCAGAAGACTCCATCATGATAATATAGTACAATACACAACTATGTTGTGCATGAATACCTCATGTACTCTACAATACAAATATGTTAGTATCAAGTAAATTTTTATCTCTGCCCAGAGAGATACG